CAGAATGAAAAATGTCCTTAACGTAATAAAGTGGGAGAGTAAACCTCCTTTCCCCTTACTGGAATGCAATATCTTAACTGTTATAAAAACAGAAAAGGATATCTAAAACTTTATGGGCTTTGTAAGATGAAAACGATATGAAATTGGTATTTACAGCTAAACATAATACTTTGGAGATTATCTCTACAAAGTGTTTCCTTATAATGGCGCCATAATAAACTCAAAGTCGTGGAGATTATTGCTTTTGGTTACACGAAAACAGTTGTTGTAGTGTATTGATATTAAATCAACACCCATAATTTGGTAATACAGTTTTTACCTACGCCCGCTTTTTAAACTAGCCGTTTCAGTTCAGTTCTAAGAATTGAAAAGATTCACTAACAGCATTGTTTTACTTTACAACAAGAGTAATGTACCAATTAGGTTCAAGGATTGAAAGAAAAGAAGTAAAATTGTAATGCTTCGAACTTCAACTAATCAGCTGTTCAGACTAATTTAATTGTTAATGAGTGGTGCAATTTTTAGTGGTTGGTACTGTACAATGAGTCGTCGCATCAATGTGAGTGGCAATGAGAGGTTATAAAAAACATAACCTCTCTTGGAAGTTATGAGTTGCGCATTTGTTAGTAATTCAACAACAGTCGTAGGTAAAGTTGTGTAAGCAACTCGAATAAGTTTTTAAGGAACTCGCCAAGGATTGTACCTTAAATTTCTACTCGTGTACACACTATCTTTACGCGATCGTTGCTCAAACTAACTACTATAACAAACTGGTTTTAATTCAGACTCGACTCAGTTGTGGTTTATGTTTCTGGAAATGATAGAGAACTTGATTATTTTGGTTGTTGGAAACCTAAAACAGTTTTTATCAAGCATGGCTTTTAAAGCCAAAATACGGAACATTTTTATGCACCTCAAAGAAGTACAGTAGGTAAATGCGCAAATCTTAAGGTTATTACAAAAAAATATTCGAAAAAAAATAATAAATTAATACTTTTTTGTTATATTTAAAATGTTTGTTTTAACATGAGAATATTCCCCTGGTATTTTCCAAGTAGAAATTGTCATCAAAACTTTGCTCACAATGTTTGTATAAAAAACGTTACCTCTGTTTTCACGAAACAAAGACATGTTTGATGTAAGTCTCTAACTAACTGAGTGAACTAAAACTCTAAGTGAACTGAAACATTGTTTGAATTTGAACACAATAAGCAGGAAGTGCTCTTCGTCGTTTATAACAGGGAGATAATACAGAGAAATTGAAACGCTCGAGGAGCATACGGGAAAGAAATATCGAAGATTGCATCTAGTAATGAATTGAAAGGCTCCATGTCCCTCTCGATAAGTGAGAAACATTCGAACGAGAGGCACGATCAACAGTTTTCTGTCTGCACCTGAGTCTGGGTCCTCAACCGATATTCCTCCCACATCCACCTACGGCTTCTTATGTTGTTAGGACGTTACAGTAATGTAACACACTGTATATGTAAGTTGATCCAGTTAGAGGTTACAGTTTAAAAGTTTAATACGTATTGCAATTCTAGGTATTTATTCGACTCTGGCATTGAACGTGAAACAAATTATCAAAATTACCACCATGTACCCTAAATACTTAAGCACTTTTGGTGAAAGATTTAATAACTTTTTGGTAATTTTTGGTAATTTGGCGGATAAATATGTTAATCTTTCCCTTTGGTTTCGAATAGAGTTGAGCATTTTTGCATAAACCTGCCTCAAGTAAAGTGATTTGAGGACACATGATCTTGCTGGTCGATGTAGATAGTTTAAACGAGAGAGATCAAACGTTTAAATTACCGTATTTTTGAAACCGAAAGTCGTATAAATTTGTATCACCACCCGATTCTTTAAACAGTTTCCAAAATAATCACTTATCGTCTCCCCATAACGTCATATATTGATTGTAACTGCATTACCCAGAGAATTTCTGAAAATAAGGGAAATGGCGCGGAAGTTCTCCAACATTTTCTTCCATCGAATAACGCAATGTTATTAAATGTTACAAATGTTATTAAACAACAATGTCCAAAATATCAGATTTTTAACTAGCAAAAAACACTGCTGCCAACTGCAATCTAATTGAACCTAATTTAATCACCATCAATTTATTAATTGAACATAGCTTACACTCGCTAGACAGTATAGCGGAAACCCATATAAAGCTGTGTTTTTAGCCAACCACTAGGTTACTAGTGTCCAGTTCCGTATCGTTGTCCAGTTCCAAGCAAGACAACATTTATTTTCAGACGTGATAACGATCACTTCAAAAAAAAAATTCCCATTCTCTAAACAAATTACCCGCAACTCATGTCTACGCACAGGCCCTGCCTATGTAGACACATTTCCATATAAGTTGATTAGGTATTTTTTTTTCTCTTTTTGCCATTTAGTTATAATATTATTTTGTAAGTTATTTTTAAGACAAGAATTAAGTAATTTATTCTGTAAAATACCATGAATTGTACTTTTTAGTTGGGAAATAAACATCATTTCATTTCATTTCATCATTTCATTTCATTACTTTATTACAATTAGATAATATGTACAAAACCGCTGCATCAATTATGCATAGTCAAATAAATAAACTTGTACCTTGTACTAAAAAGTCTACATTTACACTTTAATTACAACCGATCAATACGTGTGCCGTTAACTTGTCATAATACATTTCATATTGTTGTTTTAAATGCCTGTGTATGTGTGGTTAACTAATTTACTTTTCGTGATTATAGAATTCACGTGAAGTGACAAGACGCCCATTTGAGACCACTTTGTCAAAACTAGTTTCCATACAAACTTCACCAAGTACACTAATTGTTTAATGTGTTGGTGAAAAAAAAACTCAAGAAAATATGTTACATGTAGGCCTACTTAAGGGGAAATATACGGAGTGAATTGTGCAACTTGAATTGGCACTGCATAAAAGAATTGCTTATAAATCTGAAATAACCTACAATAGTAAACAATTATCATTATAGTTTAAAGAAAATACAACTATGAATTATTAAGAGAACGAATAAATTAAGAAGATTTGGTTTCGTTTATCAGCAGCCTTCGTTGACGTAACTTTTGTAAATGAAAATCCTTGATTTCAACAGGCAAAGTTAGGGTCACATTACCCTTTCTTACACTTAACCTGCATAAAAATTATAAAATATAAAACACAATATAGAACACATTATTTCTATTATTATTTTTATTTGTACATCGTGTGTCAAAGTCACTGACGTTGTATGTTGTGTTAAGTGGAACAAGTCTTATAACTTACGCTCTGGAAAAACATTATAGATTACCTCATTTGTTATGATAGCTCAGATTAATAATACATAATAATATACATTATTATTATTATACTAAAAAACTTTTTGATCAGCATTGTACGTGTTATTAAATTTACGGAAAGTAAATAAAAGAAACGTCTATTCGCCTATTGGGTCTGATGATGATTGGAGTGTCCAATCGAAATCGATCACCACCTACCATCGTTTTTGTATATTTACCGTCTTGTGAGTAACAGTATAAGCGTCAATCTATGTTTTAAGTGTTATAAGACGTTTCTTTTATTTACTTTCCGTATTATTATACATTATGTATTTTTACTATGAGATTATAGCAATGAGCTTAGAACCCGTTTGTCTTTCAGGGACATTCAGTACATCGAAAACGCCGAGAAACGAACCGCTTAAGCTCTCCTCATTATCAGAAAACAACAAATGAATGCCTAGTCCTATTAGATCGTGTTAGTGTGTATGCGTATGTTTAGCGATGTTGTTTACTGTATCCAGCTGGGTTTGGTTGACCGTCGCAATTGTTAGCTTCTCAGACGAGAGTTAGGTCATCAACAATGATTCATTGTTACTTTAGATGTATTCATTGTATGTGTTGCTAGTATAAATATTGTGTAGCAAGTTTACAGTCCTTGATGTTTTGTTTGTAATATTTCCCCAAGGGAGAGTTGCTCGTATTTCTAAACACATCCAAACAAATGGACAAACAATTAATGTATGAGATGTAAATAGAACTGTCTGGAAAATTTGTGCTGTCCCTAGCGTAGGGAATAAGCTATTACCAAAGACCATTGTAAGACCTGGACCTGGGACCGATTTACTCTTACGTTTCTAAGTCCACGGAGTGTAAAAACCCTACATAGTATTAGTTCAAATGCATGTATAAATACATGTGTCTGTTAACACGAGAATTCAAGTAAAAATGCTCCGATTTCGATGAAATTTGGTAGAAACGCCTAAAACTACGTTTATTTGAGCAAGTTTACGAAACACCCTGATCAGACTATGGGAACGGGATTTTACGGGTTTTAAATTTGGATTGCCAAATTTATTTATTTCATTCTAAGCTATTAATATTTGGCAAAAAATACTTTTTACCTTCCCTGTAGTAACAAACCTAAGCACTCGTTAACCTAATATTATTTAAAAATATATTTATGTAAAATTCCCTTAGTCCCCATAGTCCAGACCAAAGATTTAACCATAACTGGGTTTAAGCACAGAAAACATACTACTGTATGTTTTCTCTGGTTTAAGACATTTCGAATTGGCACACCTGGGGTATTTTTTATAATAAACTACAAACTATTATTAGTAAATCAGATGATCGCCCGATGCAAACCTAATGGAAACTTAAAGTTACAACTTATAACTTGTAACTTGTAGTTTATTATGAAACAGGACTTTGTTTTTTATGCTAAAAACAAAGTTCCCTCTTGTTTAAGTTTTAGATGGTAAAATGTTATTCAACTCAATTGAACAATTTTAATTTTTTTGTCTGTTTCTAATCACATGGCCTGATTAATTGTAAATGGTTTACATTCATATTTATTTGCGTTCTTACTATTTAGGTATTGTTATGCTCAGGTATTACTCCTTTTCCAACTTTTGGCAGTGGTAAAGAATGTTGTTAGATTCTAGTGAATCCTGAATCTTTCCTGATGCTGTAGACTTAGTTTCAGTGTTATTTTGCAGGATGCTGTGGACCGTAAACGTTGCATTGGCAGGATGGCTGTGCCTGCTAGTCCTAGCAGCGCCTTGCTGCTGCGAACCCCTAGGAGGTCCTGACCCCAGGCTGGCGCGTCCCAAGTCCTTTGCCTCCCCAGACGACCTGCGTCTCTACCTCGATCAGCTCGGCCAGTACTTCGCTGTTGTTGGCAGACCAAGGTATCAATAATTTAGTCTTCCCCAAAAGTAGATTGATCTATCAGTCATAGTTCCAAGAGTATAGGTTTACTTTTCTCAATAGTCACTCCTGTTGCTCACTACTACAACACAGGAACTGGTATTGTAGGCCCTTGAGGTTCTCAAAATGTTAAGCTGTGCCTTTACCTAATTTGAATCTTTCTTCATTAAACCACAAACAAGACCTACAAGTCCGACTGATAGTGAGCAAAATGTCATCAAAGATTGGCATTTCAAGGTTTGGTCCATTGATAGAAAAGCAAAACTCATCTTGTTTATTAGTTAAGAAATTTCCACAATACATGCATTATACTAGTAAGTAAAGAATATAATTTAAGTGAAATTAATTATTCAAATGCCACAAGACGATTGGTACTATCAAACTTTATTGTGATTGTGATCCTTGCCATGTTCAGTTTTAGTTGGTAGGGTGAATAAACTAGTTTGTGGAGTCACTAAATCTAACCCTAAGCCCCAACAACCCCCACGACACACACATTCAACACATTGTTCACACATTGTGGACCAAATTACTATGAAAATTTGCTGTTATTAAAATGTTCAGCATTCCACCCTGTAAATACATTAATTTGGCTCACATGACAATACGATGATCAGGAAGAATTGAATTTTAACAAGTTTCAACATTTCAGATTCGGCAAGAGGACGTCTTCGGCATCAAGGGATACGTCTCTGGGCTCAGGGATCCCAAGCTACTCAAACTACGCAGCTCCTGCCCAGAAGACGTTACAAGCAGACTCACCAGATGTTTACGACATCTTTCAGTATTACCAACCTCGTCAGCAAGAGTAGACTGTCAATCACCTGTTTTGTTTTGTTGTTTCCTTTTATACAGTAATGTCCGTGTAGTGTTTGTGAAATGAGACTTACTTGACTGAGTGAACTTAGATATCACCCATTGTACAATTTGAAAATAAGTAAATACTTAAGGTTCTCTTGGTAAGTTGTGTTTCCCTCGCCTTCTCTGAAATTTTATATTTTTAACAAGCTATCACTTCTATAGGGTTTTAAATGAAGAAGATGCTTTGAATTCATCTAATGAGGACATGACAAACATTGGTGAACTAAAAGGTCAAATTGTATCAAGGGTGTCTAAGAAAGTGGGTATCTGTCATGTATTAAGCCTTTTCAATAGACCGAACATTTTGAAGTAAAACTACAGATGCATGTTTTGTTGTTGAGCAAAGGGATGCAAATTATAACACACAAAAACTAATAAAAATTAATATGAATACGTGTTGTATCACTTCTTAACCAAGCTTATGTGAGTGATATGTTGTTTGTTCCTATGGAAAACATAGAGGATGGATTTTCCTTATAAATGAGAATGAATATAATTAACTGTACAAATTGGTAGAAAAGTTAGAAGAATCATAGCAAACATTTATAACACAACAAGACTGTTAAATTTGAAGACAAGGAAGAAAAGGATAGATACAATGGTCACGTAAGTCTACAGACAAATTATATTTCCAATCTATTGATTTTTTAGATCATAAAATATTCAAAAACAATAATTCACTAGTATTCTAAATTATTCGACACACTTATTTTTTAGAAATCAGAAATTAGAAACTTTTTATTGAATTTTTTTAAGCTTTTAATTTACTTTTAGCTTATTACATCTATTTGCAAACCAGGGTTCTAAAACATGAGTCTTGTTCTAATTACGATTACAGAGCGCCAACAAAAGAGTGTATATGTTTCATGTGAGACTATCTTGTTATTCTGGGTGGCAACTCCCGGCCTCCGTATAGAGAGGGTGTCACATTTAGGAGGTAGTCTGCAGCTACCACTACTTCTGTGCTCTTGATTGGCAGTTAGTTCACAAAGAGACTGTGATATAAATTATGACCAATAAGGCAGCAGCATTCAGGTTTGCACAGAGAAGTAAGGGACAGAGGAAACACTAATGGTACACTTAAGTGGTGTCTATCACTAGCCGCTGGGGTCTACGGCAAAATCCAACACCACCCTCCTCGTCCTCATGTACTACTGTACAACGCTTGGTAAAGGAAGATGCTGTGCCCTGAGCAATAGGTCCAGTACAGTGCTCGGTGCTTGGGCTCTTCCTTGCTTGTCACAAGTATATTTTTCAGGGAACATTCTAGAGCAGAAGGTGCATGGTTGGTCGTCATGCAAGTTTCCTCTATACCTTACTTCTCTGTGAGAATAGTGAAGTGGCTGAGAATGAGTGAGAAATATTAATCAAAGTTAGACAATCTTATATGGTAGAACAGAAGAATATGAATTCTCTATCAACATGGCTTGATGAGATTTTCTCTGCTGTTTTAATATATTTAAGCCTAGCTAGATATGAGTAGCAAATACGCAAGGATGTGATAAAGTAGGTTCTGATGAATTAAAATCACAGGTTGTATACTTGTAGATAGGAACTTATAAATAGAGGTCATAATGAACTTATAACATTAGAATTAGAAACATTATGTGCATTCAAATAGCTATCTTGTTTGCTGCATGAATTATAAAATAATCGAACATTTTTCATTTCAATAATATTATAAAGCCTTTTGTCCTATATCGACTCGCAGTTATGTTATTACAGTGGAATCACGCTTATCGAACCTAAACCGGTCACGGCAAAGTCTGATAACTCCGACACTCAAAAACCATCGTAAACATTTTAGAAATCATCAATTTAAGTTTCACCTCTATTAAACCTATTAAAGGCTTTGAGATTGTGTTCCATAGAAAAACATTTTTCTGTTTTTCAACCGTCATTACAAATAGTTTACTAGTATAGCCGCCCAGGTAAAAAACCACTACAATAATTGTAAAATATAAGATTATGCCACAAGTAATAAGACACACAGTGACTAAGACGCAAGGGATAGCAGAGAGGTTTGCAAGCATGAGAAGTTGACTGTGTGGTATGTAAGACCAGCCTTTTTATTGGGGTTTTTGTAGTACCCCATCCCCTGGCTCCTCCTATAGAAAAGTCAGATGTACACCCACGTTACCAATTGGTTTTATGTTTGAGGCTTTTGGAAAGGAAAGAGATGAGAAGCAACCACTAAAAAAATATTTGAAAACAGTTCTAGACAATTTTCTTGCTTTAAGACATGTTTGGAAAAGAGGAAGAGACAGTGGATACCCCTCCCCAGATAAAGTAGTTTTAAAAGTCTTTCACTTGATTGCAGCACTAATTAACACACTGAATAACACAAAATAGTTTACTTATTTTCCACTAGATTTTGAATTGAAGGAAAGGATGATAGCAGTTAGCTTACCTTGAAGAAGTTTAGGTAGGCCAAATAGAACATATAGAAGGAAGATACACTGTGCACACAACATTTCGTCCCCTGAAGGTATTTTAAAAGTCTCTCACTAGAGTTCAGGATATATTTTAAGAATAGCCCAAACAAAAACAGTCTACTAACTCACATGACTGATGACACTAAAATGTTCCTTAAATGCTGATAGTGGTTATGAATGTGTCTTTTGATATTTTTGGATATATTACCCAAGTTAAAACCTTCTGCAACAGCCTTTAAGGTAATCTTATCCATAGTTGGGACAACTTTCAAAGAACTAAATATTGCCAAACTTCTAGGATTTGTATTTGACACTGGGTATTTTTTCATGCCATCAAGCTGAATAAGTTTTTGATACTGCAAATGTCTACTAGGCAGCTGTGATTTTTATTATTTTTTTGTTTATTTTTGTACGGTAAGGAGGATATTATCTGAATTGTAAACTTGAAGGGAAAGAAAGGTGATATGAAAACTTAAACTCTTATTTTATTGGACTTATTATAAAAAGTGAAGCAGGCCAATTAATACACACAAAAGATATTTTGAAGCACAACAAAAGATATTTTATACTCGGGTAGATACCACAAACCAACTTTGAGTAATAAATGAAAAGATTAACACTTTTTCCACACGGATAGACCAAATAAAAAAATAAGGGGATTCCTAGAAAAAAATAAAAAAACCTTTGTTTCTCGCCATGAGAAAATAATCCCTATACCTATCTTCTTGACTTGAGATAATTCCTCTGTTAAAGGAAATTCATTGGTGTTAAATGGATGTACAGTAATTACGTGTATAAATAAATGAAAAATAGTCAACACAGAAGAAAAAGTAATCCTGATTAGAAACTCATTTTTTACTTAGTTGCAGCAACTAGTTTCATTTTCTACTAAATACAGTAATCCTTTTTTCTGTCTTTCACTAGGGGAGAGACAAGTCATACACCAAATTTTGGTTTCCCGCATAGTGTCGGTTTGCGCGCTTTGCGCAAGCAACTTGTAGAAGACTAGTGGAGAACTGTTCGATAATTGACATCAAATATTTAAAGTTGCTACTGGTCAGTCTCAGAAAGTTTTTTACACTCCCGTTGCACTTCAGATCACCACTCAAACGGATCTTCGTCAACTTCTAGGACTAAGCTATCAATTCTCTAGCTATTCTAGGAGTGTAGCTATCAATGTCCCCTAGCCATCGACGAGGGTCTCACCCAATATCTTCGCAAACCTCTTGTACAGTGACTGGCTATTATGACACAGACAGCCGCAGCAATGATTGAGTTTTCTTCATCCGAAATACTTGACACTACCGCATATTTTGCGTAAATTCTTTGTCGACAATTGTTCCACTTGCTCTAAATTGGAGATGAACAACTTTTGGATTCCTACAAATATTTTTCCAGTAGTTGCCTTAATTTTAAGAACAACTTTTAGTTGTAAGCTTTTGTCAACTTTGGTGTAATCGTGCCTTAATGTTCACTAGTATCTATTACTTAAGTGATAAGAAATTTATAAATCCTTAACCGTTTTGCAAAATGGCAAAACTCATTGATATGGATATACATCTGGTAGCCTTCCAAGTCTGCTACCAAGGCTGCGTGCCTTGCCGGACATGATAGCGCTATCTAAATGCTTATTCGTACCTTTCGGTTTTTATGTTTGTGTTATGTATATTTTAACTGTGTTAATGAAGTTGTAGCTTATAAATTAGTGTTGTTGCATAAAAACAACCCTAGTTAGTTGATTCAACCGAATAATTGTTGGACTTCTTGACGGTTTAGTAAAACCTGTTCTGTCAATTTACTGTATTGGCTTACAGTCACCTAGAAGGTACAATTTATGTGTTTCAAAACTTTTTTAGTACTGTTTTGACAACAGAGTTTTGTCAATTGAGATTACAAAAAATGTCTGTGATTTGCAATATACTACAAACTAATTTCATATCCAAATTCTAAATGTTAGTCTTGTCTGTTAAATAGTGGCAGCCAAGAATCTGTAAAGGGGGAGGGTTTCATCTAGCAGACCGATAGAGGGAGTCTGAGGGCAACCCCCGTAATCTTGAGAACATTAATAATGAGGCCTTTTATGGGCCATATGTTATAAAAAACTTAAGTATTTTATGAGTGTAGGTATACTTTGATTTGATTTTTTATTCAAGCAAATCATATTTAAATATTGAAGTTTTCTAGTAAGTGCAAATTTTAAGGATAAGGTGCAGTAAAGATGGACGTATCCCTAATGTTTAGTTCTCCAAATACAGAGATGTAGGCCTAAACAAGTCCCACCTCTAAACATTTTTAAAGAAAAATTGTTCTAGTTAATACTAAAGCTATAAAGTATACTTTAGGATGGAGAAGGAAGATAATAACATTAGACTGAGATTATCTCCCGCGATTGTGGCAAAACCGTGAAATGTTCTGCGATCATAGTGAAATCATAAACATCTCCTGTAATCATGGGGACATAATGGTCATCTTCCATGAGGGCATTATGGGCACCTTCCACGGATGCATTGTGAACATCTTCGACGATTACAGAGACATAATGATCGTACTACTGTTATTTGCTAAAAATTCCTTTTTGATCATGGATGGATCCATCATGAACATCTCCCACATTATGAAATATCTTCCGCGAGACTATGGAAACACACTTTTGTTATCTATTAACAT